ATGCTTTCTTTTCAAAAAACTCCCACACTAGGCTGTATAACCGACTTCAAAAAAGGAGAAGGTTCTCAATTCAACTGTAATTTTTGGTGTCATACCTCAGAACTTTTTTTCTAGGTAAACCAATTTTGATGATTCTTTTTTATTTGAAAGCTGGTGCTTCTCATGTGGTCAAGGTCAATTTGATCAAGATCTGACCAGTAGTTTTTGAGTTATCCTTAATAATACGTTATTAAATAACTTCAACTATATTGATAGTGTTCTCATTTTATTTATATTGAAGTTGGTTGTACAAAATGTTTAACTTATCCAGAACCAGGATACCCGGAACAATATACTTGTTCCGTGCGAGATTTGAACCCGTGGCCCTCCGCGCCGCAACTCAATGCTAAGCCACTGCGACGATGAGCTGTTGAAAGACATTACTTATTGAAAGTAATTTATGCTTCTATCATTGGTTCGATAAAAGCTTTTGTCCTGGGGAGAACCAGCAAGAAACCTAGTGGGCATTTTATTTAAACACTAGCTGTTCCCCGCGACTTCGCCCGCGTGTTATTTGGAGTTTTAATTTTTTTGGGCGGAACCCTAATTCTTTTTCTAAAATAAAAGTAGCCTAAGTTACTCCTTGTGACATCAGCTATCTGTCAGTGAAAATCCCATCAAAATCGGTTCAGCCGTTTCGGAGATTAGCCGGAACAAACAGACAGACAAAAACGTTAGAAATTGTATTTTTGTCATTAGTACCATATATAGTTTCATATGCATTTAGTAAAAAGCTGTAACTTTTTACTAAATGCATTACAAACAGACACTAATATTATTTATTTGTATAGATTAATTTATATTTTAATATTTAACATGTGACAACGATGTTTAGTTAATAAACATATTATATTGATGATTGTATTTTCCAGGCATTATTCAACATATTAGCATTGGACGCAGCAGCTGTGGCTTGTGCGGTCAGCTTCTTCAAAGTTAACACAAACACTGCATATCTCATGACTCCATATTTATGCTGGCTGGCTTTCGCAACATGTCTTAACCATTCCATTTGGGAACTTAATAAAGATGACCCAAAGATTCAGTAAATAATATAAAAAAATTGTTTATTGTTTTTTTAGTTGTTTCTGTTGACCTCGTATGTCCTTACAGTGGCGTTAAGAATGGAACAAGTTGTTGACTAATTACAAAGTGTTGAGTAGGGTCAGCAAAAATATTTGATTGGTAACATTATATCATCACAAAAAAAACTATAGATTAATTTTTTTTTAATGAACTGTTGCTCTAAAAGAGATATATCGATTAATAAATAAACTATTACTTTAAGCGTAAATGCACTTTCTGTATGTACACACACTCTTTGCACTTGTGTACAGTACAAACAATAATTTATTATCCTTGGCTAGTTTTTTTTAAAGACAAATTAATTTTACTTTTTTCATCTTTCCGCACACCGTAGTTGATTAAAACTCAGTTTGACAGCTATGAAATCACAAAATGGCGACAGACTACACTTTTACTCATGTAATACTGCTATATAATATTACTTTTGTAAAAACTTCCTTTCAGTTTGATTAAATAATGTAAAATCATGTTCAAGTTTCCAAGATAACTGTAAAGTTGAATTTGTTGAAAGAACAACGAAAATATATTAATTCGAAAATACAAATGTAGTATTAATTGTATATTCCTTATGGATTTTCTGTCTAAAAGATTTAGTAGATTTACGTGAATCAAATTTTACTCTCTAATACTTTCAATTCATCGCGTTCTATAAAGAATAATTACGGTAACCGTATGTCGGAGATAATGTCGAATTGATATTAGTGATACTTTTTTTGAAGTTTGTGTTTTGAGTTTATACAGCTATGTATATTAAGTGTACTATTATTAATATGTAAGTGATGTTGACTTTTTTGTTAAAATATAGGCATTTTAGACAAAGTTAACAAAGAAGACAATCATTTTTGGGCCCACTAGAAAGAGGAATGCCCAATTCTGGCCATGAAACGCCCATCAATTTGCATTTGTTAAAAAAATACATCTTTTTTTATGGTAATTAATCGCGGTATTTATGTATCCAAAAAAGATTGCAATATTTTTGCACAAAAAAAGTACCGAAAAGATAAAAATGAAATTAGGTAAATCCGCAAGTCTTTAGTTTGTGGACAAATTAAAAAGTGTTACCAATCAGAAATCTCGTTAAAAAAGGCGATTCTGTTTTTTCAATCGATTTTATGGTGTCATTATTATAATGGTAACAATATTTTTCGATTATTATTATGATGTTATGATAATTAAACAAGGGAGTTGCTAGTTCATTTACCATGAACTCTTTAGAACATAACAAAAACGCTATTGCAAAATTTAACTGTTATTCTTATCTGTTCTTAAAAATACGTTTAAAATGGAATTTAAATAAATAAAACAAAACATATTTTAAAAGGCGTGCAGAACTTAAAGCGAATCAGTGATTATTCTTTTTTATGAAATTATAAATCGAATAAAAAATCGCTATCTATTTATCGATTTTATGTCTTTTAATTGGCAACATCGAATTCCTTTGCATTTGTGTTATTTTGTTTGTTTTCTCGCGGATTTGTTATCTAAGCAACGAATAAGCTTACTAAATGGACTCCGATAATTCTTCTCACCCTATTGACCACGGCCTAAAAATGGATCCCGCTCCCACTTCTTACGATAACCTCTGCACGAACTTGGACTCGATATCCACTGTTAACGATGACCCCAGCTTTCACACCGGCCAGAGTTCTTCCTAGCTCTCAGTAACTCATTCAAGAGGACATTTAAGCTGTGTCAATTGTGGTTTAAATGTCACGAAAATACGAAGTAATTTGTTGTTAAAAAACTGTTCTTGTGAAAATAAAAAACCTTTACCTATATCTTAAAAATCCGGACTTTTTTTAAACCATTTCCTTAACCATTTCATTCTTTTAATTGCATATTATCATTTCCATAAGCTTTTATATGTGGGCACCCATGGCTGAAGTGTCTATGAACGGTGGGCATTCTTCTTTATTATATATTATTATTTATTATAGTAAACGGCCTAGAGATTTTATGAAAACCTAACCGGAATCAAAATCTGAACAAAAAGAGTTGTTTTGATATTTGTGGTCCATGGCTAATGTGATATGAAAAAAATGCGTGTAACGAAGAACGAACTAGGTACTAAAATGATTTTCTATCAATCTTAAAGTACCTATCAATGTTGAATGTATCTACAACTTTCTTTTATACTATTAATTATTGACCAGTACACTATTTTAACTTATAATACCGGTGAAAACTACTAGACAATCGCTTTTAGTTTGTTTTTAGGTTATTGTGATGTTGATATTTTAATTGTTAATTTCTCAGTATTCCCGTTAGATACGGTAAAACTAATATTAATATTGAATTCTATAGATTATAAGGAATAAATCGACATGTATTTCATTAAGTTACGCCACAATTCGTGGTAGGCCCATGGAGCAAATACAAAGAGGAGGTATTGTAATTAGATTTCACTATGTAACAACGCGTGACAATTTACGGGATGTTAAGCCCTGCCCACTTTACCATTTTCCATCTACCGATATATAGTAAAACTACTCACATAGTTCCATATCGATGTTGCATTATAGTTTACCTACCTTGTCCATAGATGGCGGCCTGTTTACAAAATGATTATAAAAACAAAAAAAATAATATTTGAACGGTTTAAAATTCTTTAGGACTAAATGCAAAACAAATTCAACACTCGTATGATTATTTTACCAATACTGAGTTCTACGTACCTTTATATTTTTAGTTGCCATGCCATCTAGTGTCGAATGCATTTAATTAGATTTTTCTAGAACCTTTTTAATAAATTAGGTATAAAATTACTTACAAATGAAATGTGATGCCATCTATAGCATCAGAGCGTCTATCTGAGTTGTTTTTACACGATAAATCACAACATTTCATCCTTTTCTTCTTAATACTACGAAAATACACCGATTTGCGATTTTCGACACAAGCGCAAAGGACGAACGCTGACAGTATACTAAGTAAAGCCACGCCCACTTTGATGACGTCAGGACTAGTTAGGATCACAGTGCACAGTTGTGTATGCCATCTCCATACATAAAGAAATTGTCTCCTTTAGCGATATGATAGAGAAGGAATTTATATGTGATGCTTAGATCTTAAAACTTGTATTTATATTACTAGAGCGGCAATTCAGAACAAAAACCGTGTCACAGCTGTGGATTAGCGATGGGCGTTGAATGAACGAACTAGTAAATTCGACCGTCGATGTACTGTGAACGAGTACTGTTTACGAACAATCAATGAACTAGTCGAATCTGTAGATGGCTAAATTAAAACTCCATGATGTTCATTCCGTCTAGCAACGCGAACGATCGACGTGAGAACGTGGTCGGATAACATTAGATCATAATATTATGTTTGTTGAAACTAAAACTCTAAATGTAGACAGCGTAAGAGTATAAATAGCAGTTTGTTATTGTGATAGGTGAAGAAAAGGATGCCGTTATGGTATCATCGAGTGTGCAAAAGAGAAAGGCGACTTAATAATGGACGGCTTAATACATCATGCCGTTACACTATCGCGGAGTTTAAATTTAAACGTCTGCAAAACCAAGTTGACGCGTAAACTAATTGATAAATTTAACTAGTTGATCGACTTGTCGATGAACGAAAATGGACGGTCTAGTTTCGTTAACGACAAATACGTCAACGACACATCGCTAGTGTGGATCGCGCAGCATAGTGCCAGTCTAGTACTAAGTCTTTGATTTATAACAAAGGTAACAAACTAATTGTTTTCATATTATTGTTTTATAATTTTATTATATGCAAGTGTTTCGCAATCTGGCAACACTAAAGATTCGGGGATGTATGTAACAAAGGTGCTGTGAGGTATGAGGATAGTGAAAGAAGTAATGTAGCATATCATTATATTTACATAATGAATAAAGTTTGATTTATTGTCATTTCATTCGTTTCAATTTATTCAACTCTCCCTGTTGTATTGATGCATCCTTGTAGATTTGTTTCACCTTTTCTTTACGGATATTGTCACTGAAAAAAAAAGTGTGTATAAATTTCAACTCTTCTACTAAAACAACACTTAATGTGGACGCGGAAAGAACCAGCTATGAATAATGTTGCCTCAAATAATATATATCTTGTGACCGAGAGGTAGCAAAAATATAGAGCCAGCAGCTCGCAATTCGCGACAAAATTATGCATATGCATATGAAATAATTTTTCTTATGTTTACACAAACACTACACATTTAAATAAAACTAAGTTTTACGGATTTTATATAAAAACAATTTGATCCGATAATTTTAATCTGGAGGTAGCCGTGGTTAACTATAACATTGGGAAGTCGAACACCTCATTCCTCCCCGTGACCAGGGGTGCTGTAAAGTACTCGAAATATCGGAAATTTAAAATAAGTTAATATACACGATAAAATCCGTAAAACTTGGTTTAATTTAAATCGCGGTATGCAACTAACGGGCGACGGACGTCACTCTGTAGGAAGTTGTAATAGCGATTATATTACTTTTTTATAGGATAGGGTGACAAGCGAGCACACAGTCCACCTGATGGATGGTAAGTGGTTGCTGTGACCCATAGACATCCACATCTATCCTCAATAAAGAATCAAAATGCAGATGCGTTGTCACCCGTGAGGACTACACTCACCATACGAAACACAGGAGTGTTAAGCTGCTATTTTACGCTGGTATTCTGTGAGAGCGTGGTCCTTCCCCGGTCGAGCCATTCCATTTTTGCTACAAATATACTACTAATATAGCTGCAGCATGGCTCTGCCACGCAATATTGAAATCCTTTAGTATCCTAACAAATACTACATTATTTTTATATAAAGTTATAGTCTTAAATATGTCACAGCTGGGAATAGGCTTATTATAATTAAGTTATGGATCAGTTTGAGCGCCCCACCGTTTTTCGAGTGTCCTTTGTATTCTTTTGTAATTTATTTTATGCAATACGTTTGGCAAACAAGCATACAGTCCACCTGATGATAAGTGGATGCTGTAACATCTACATCTATCCTCGGTTAAGAATCCTTGAGAGAAAACGTTCCCAAGAAGAACAGATTACACAAAGTCAGTACTATAAGGAGAGGAGGGGGGGGGAGCAGAAGGTAGAACGAGAAGGGAGTACACCATCATGTTTGGAGCTAAGATACTGAAAATGAGGAGTTAAATAAGATGTAGAATAAGGATAGAATAAAGAGTAGTGAGTGCACGTAGACTACGGCGCTGACGAATGTCGTTAGCGATAAGTAGACACTTTATTTTCATATCTCCTTAAAAATGTCTTTTTCTCATCTGAAACAGTTGGTAATCTTAATGCTAGTAAAGTCGACTCTCGATAATTTGACACTCGTTAATTTGAATATCTCGATAATTTGAATTTTTGTTTTTCCGGTCCCTTATAACATGCTCGATATATTAAATAAAATCAATATTAATTGGTCCCCTCGGTAATTTGAAGTTGAAGGAATAGCATCTTGCCCGCCAACATACAATAACTTGAAATCTGGGCTTCCCCACTCTCGATAATTTGAAATGTTTTTCATGCACAAACCTGTCCTTTGTTTACATACATACATGTACAGACTTGTCGGTTGTTTACATAAACGAGAGAGACTTCTTTTAAAAATGAACATTTGTGAATAATTGTACAAATGTTTAAAACAGTAAATCAACGAATTTTGATCAAACTCTGGTTTACTTGATGTTTTCCTCCCTCCCTCTTGGTTGGTGCTGTTATTTTGAACTCATGGTAATTTGAAATGTTTCTCTGGTCCCTTGAGTTTCAAATTATAGAGAGACGACTGTATTGATTTTTTACAACATCATGCATAATAATTACCTCTGAATCTTCTGCCTTATCTTCACAGAAGCGATGTACGCCTTGTCTCTCCTTATTTCCCTCAGGGCTCCCTTCATCTCCTTTTTATATTTGCTCTCTAATCGGGCCTTCTCTGCCTTCTCACGAGACAATTTAGAACTCTTGCTGCCGGTGAAACTGTAAAATCAAATAACTCGCTCTCTTACCCGTCACAATTTATTTGTAGGTAGTCTGAAAGAAATTGCTGTAAGATCGCCTTTTGTTTTCTCTCTATGTTTTTTTTTTGTTTTCTCAGTGCACAACAAAGGGTATTGTATTGTATTGTAATTTACTGCATTAAAGTGAAGACTACCCACAAATAAATAAATAAAACTTATTATACATATTTATACTTAATAATTGAAAGCTGAAGGTAGTCCGGGATAACTATAACATCAGGACATCAACCATCTCAGTTCCCCATGACCATAAAAATATTTTAAAAAAAACGCGATAAAATCGCGTCTCGCGTCAAAACTTAGCTCGCAATTTATGCTTAAGGGATTTGCCGTGTAGTGCAGGTGTATGAAAATCCAGTACTTTATTTTTTATATACAATAAGAGTGACAAGCAAGCACACGTACTGTGTTACCTGATAGTAAGTGGATGATGTGGCACATAGACATCTACATCTACCCTCGATTAAGAATCAAAATGCAGATGCGTTGTCACCCCTGAGAACTAACATTGAATGCCTCGTTGCCAGTAAGTGTCTCCAATTCTCTTACACTCACCAAACGAAATACAGTAGCATTAAGCTGCTATTTTACGCTGATATTCTGTGAGAGCGTGGTTCTACCCCGGCAGAGCCGACCTATTAATGCTAGAACCATAATATAGCTGCAGCGTGGCTCAACCAGGTAAAACTAATAGCTCTACCACGTAAAACTCGTGGGTTTACCACGGCATATCATCCCGTGGATGTTGTAAGAGGCTATAGGGGCGAGCACACTATCCATCTGATGGTAAGTGGATGCTGTTGCAAACAAACAACTTCATCTATCCTCGATCAAAAATCAAATGCAGATGCGTTATCACCAATAGGGACTTAGAATGGAATACCTACTTACCAGTATAAGGTATATAATATTATATTAATAGAAACATCATCTAAACTGTGGTACAAACATGAATGTCTGTTACACAAGTTTGCAAGCAGCTTCTACCAAATACTTCTATGTAGGCTACTGGATTGGCAATTTAGAACAAAAACTGTGCTACAGCTGTGATCGCGCTAGCAATTCGCGATTTGATTTTTGATTTGATATTTGCATTTTTGTGTGAGCTAGGTCATTGAAATGCGGGACTAGTTTATCGAATACTAGGAATGATTTCATTGCTTATCGACATTAAACCAAATCAGTGTTAGATAGACGATACAACGTTCGCGGTTTACAAAACAAAAAAACTAGTTTTCTCGGCAGCTCGCAGTCGACTATACAAGTTACGGATAATTGACCGTAACTTAGTGTGCAATATACACTGTAGTGTACTTGTAGTAGTATATATAGAAGTATTTGGCTTCTACTAATTTAGATAAATATTATTAATATTGCCTTAAAATAAGCAACTTACACTTCCTGAATGTCTGGTTCGTACAATCTCAATGCTTTCGGCCGCACCTTCTCTCTTGCTAAAGGCGTGTAAGTCTTTACTTCCAAACTCTCCTTCATATGTTGAAGTACTTCAGTCACCATACTCTTAACTTTATTCGGATATAAATCTAAATCTACCCTACCTAACAGTTTAATATGAGCTTCGAAAATAGCTTCCTGCGCCTCCATGTCATTGCAATTGTTAAAATATTCTTTTAACATTAAAACACAATTTAATAAACAACTAACTTTAAAAGAATCAGTTATGTCCTTATCGACTAAATCTTTCACCGCCATTTTGTGTTGGACCGCCATGTTGGAGCAATCGTGTTCGAGATTCAAAATTTTGACGTCTCTGTGTAAACGAAATGGCGGGACAACTTGAATCGGATTCAAAATGGACGTATTTGCGCACAAATAAAGAATACCTCTGAGGAAATTAATGGCAGCCGGGACGAATCTTTTAGATAATACTGTGTATTCTAAAATAAGAGCTGTAATAAACAAACCCCTGGAAACCGAATATGCGTCTTTAAATCTGGAATGCGTTAAAATTTCCGACATGAATAACAAAGACGGCGTGGTAACCGGATGCCGGAAATCGGACGTCGGGTACAAACAGGAGACTAGTTTGAAAAATATTAATGTGTCTAAATCAGGTACTTTTCTGGGGTTCTTTTTGAATTTGTCGTGTTTTTCCTTTAGCAAATCGCACATAAACTTTTTTGATGACACTTTGTTTGTGTGTGCTAGGTCATAGAAGTGCGGGACTAGTTTATCGAATACTAAGAATGATTTCATTGCTTCTCCATCATCTCTTAAATTGGAAAAGAGATCATTTACGTATTGCAGCATGTGCGCGTACAGCCGACTGAGTAACTCTTTGTTATTCTCTGATAAACTAGGATCATAGCTTTTTATCAGTTTTTGTAGAACGGCCGATTGCTGAGTCGGCGATTTTCCATCAAGTAGCTCCTGTAATATATTCGATAGTTAAACAACCCTGATAAATAATTTCTAGAATAGAATAAGTTAATGTTTGTAAATCACAAAGTTTTCGTTACTTAACCATTGCATGTTTTTCATCATTCATTTACAGCATTTAAAACTGCCACTGCTGAACGTGAGGTCTACGTAAGGGGGACATTTGTCATAGCTACCACGCTTGGTGGGTTGGCAACCAGTTTTTTTTAAATTTATAGATATAGGAAGACGTTGTTGCCTATTTCTTAATTCAGTTTCTTCTTCTTTCACTTCTTACGATACCTACGAGACAGGTTGGACTTTTTATAGACTTTTATAGGTAATAGATGAATGTGAAAGAGGCCCATGGCATAGACATTTTTCGAATTGATTGTTTTTCATTGTCAATACTACTATTATAAACAAAACCTTTTACGTATCGGTTCAAGTTCAAATTTATAAATACTTGCCACGTGTTAAACAGGGTGCACATGATTTGAATTTCTTTATTATGAATCGTTTTTTATTAATAAGTTAATTTTTACGTGGTAGAGCCATGCTGCAACTATATTAGTAGTATAGTTGACTGGCCTGTTGGTCTAGTGGTTAGTGACCCTGACTGCTACGCCGGAGGTCGTGGGTTCGATTCCCACCCAGGACAAATGTTTGTGTGATGAGCACGATCATTTGTTCTGTGTCTGGGTGTAATCTATCTATAATATTTATGTATTTAGAAATATATAAGTATGTTTATCAGTTGTCTAGTACCCATAACACAAGCTCTGCTTAGCTTGGGACTAGATGGCGTTGTTTGATAGTTGTGGAATATTATTATTATTATTATTATTATTATAGTTGTAGCACGAATGGGTCGGCTCGACCGTGGATGTACCAGGCTCTCAAAAAATACCAGCGTAAAATGGCAGCTTGACACTGCAGTGTTTCACATGGTGAGTGTAGAGAACCGGAGACCAATTTTACTGGAAAAGAGGCATTCCATCTTAGTCCTCACGGCTGACGACGCATCTGCATTTTGATTATTTATTGAGGATAAATGTAGATGTCTATGGGTCACAGCAACCACTTACCATCAGGTGGGCTGTGTGCTCGTTTGTCACCCAATCCTATAAAATAATTAAAAAAATTTATGCAATAGACTTTTTCTTCGTTAACCCCTAATTATTTCCTCACGAGAAAAAAAGTCACCCGGTATCGTCCATTACAGCCTATAAAAGTACACTGCTAAACATAGTCCTCCCCATAGTTTGCTCCATAGGATTTTTTCATAGTTGCCATGTTTGGCAGTTAAGTTGGCAACCGCAGTTTTTTTATTCTTTTCAGTTGTTATTAGGAAGATGCTGCTGCCCATTTCTTGTTTCATTTTACCTCTGTGCTCTCTTACGTTCCTCTCCTCCGCCTCTCGGGACTATATGGGGTAGAATATTCTTACACAGCCACTACACATTTAATATGGATATTCGGTATAATATTATAATAAATGAAAAAGTTTTTCTATAATTACCTTTAACTTAACACCCTCCTCAGATTTTAGATCAAAAAAGGACCCAATTTTCTCTTCATTTTCTTCTTCAATCTCTTCATCTGATTCTGCCTCCGACCCTTTTAAGTCATTCAAATCATCAACGTTATCGTCTTTGACTGCGGGTTCATTATCATCATCTTCTTCTTCTTCTTCTTCAGAACCAGATTCATCATCCAAAGTATCTTTAGTTTCTTTACTATCGTCAATGTTTTCGGTAACGTTGCCATTTGCTTTGGGTAATATTTGTTCTGTCTCTGACTTATCTTCATCTTTGCTTTCATTCTCACTGTTATCATCATCATCTTCTTCCCCTTCTTCCTCGCCAGAACTTTCTTTCTCACGTCCTTCTTCATTAGATTTTTCTTCTTTACTACTATCGTCCTCTTGCTCTGACTCCTCATCTTCACCATTGCCCTCGTCTTCTGATGACGTGTCTGATATACCATCATTGAATTTTGGCTTTGCATTAGGAACTGAAAAAAATCATCTTGAATATTAAATATACAAGTCCACCACTTAACATAGACCTCCAAGGCCCCCAAAGAACACCACAAGGCACGGTCCTGAGCCATCTGCATCCATCAACTTTCTGCATGTCTTACCAAGTGTCACTGCATCTAGTGTGAGGCCGCCATACACTTTTTACCCATCGTTTGTCGGTTCTCAGAGTTATATGACCAACCCATTGCCACTCCAGTCGATTACTCTGATTTCAAATATTTAAAAAAAAACTTTGCGCGACACTTTGTTTTGGTCTGATTTATTTTATTATGTATCCGTAAAATTATTTCAGTAAATATGTTTTTCACTTGTAGGTATATGCATTTTTGATTTTCGTTGTTTCAATAGAGTATAAATGCATATATATAGAGGGCTATGCTCGGGGTTTCTCTGCGTGATAAGCTTAGAAATGAGGATATCCGCAGTAGAACCAGAGTTACCGACATAGCCCAACGGATTAGTAAGCTGAAGTGGCAATGGGCCGGCCATATAGTTCGAAGACCCGACAACCGATGGGGAAAAAGGTTCTCGAGTGGCAGCTTCGTACCGGCGGACGAAGTGTAGGGCGTCCCCCACCAGATAGAGTGACGACCTGGTAAGACATGCAGGAAGTCGATGGATGCAGGTGGCTCAGGAGCGTGCTTTGTGGCAATCCTTAAGGGAGGTCTATGTTCAGCCGTGGACTGTGAAGGGCTGTAATGATGAATGATGAATAGAGTAAAGGTTTAAATAAGTGTTACTACGGAAGAACAATATCACTTGATCATACATGAAACAAAAGATACGTGACGCTACAGAGTTTGGAGAATCCTTAATAAATGGCTCATATTTTCTATCGTCAAAAAAGATTATTAGTCAGATTAATTATAACCCGACTAAATGTAAAAGTAAAATAATTAAAGTATTTTATTAATGCAACTGCAATTTTTAATCTGTTTATGTTGTATTTTATTCTAAGAACGCCTACGATACGAAGTGTCGGCAGTCATTCGAGATTAAAGGAGTCAGACTGTAGGTTATATATAGTTATGTGCGTGGTAAGTAAAAATGTCGATTAGGATAAGAAATAGATGTATTTTTCCACACAAGTATATCAAATCACGTCGGTCAAAATCGCTAAGCTTGTTCGATGAGGTCCTTAATAATTGCAGATGTCGTTGCTCGTAGTCACTTTCCGGTGTTCACTTTCGCGTTCCCGAAATAATTAACTTCCCCATCAGGAGCCGGCACACACGTTTATACTCGATAAGAGAAATATAGAAGTGTTTATGCCAATCCAGGTCATTCCACTGTTTCCAAAGGAAGGTACTAAAACTCGAGATTACATAACGATAGCAATCCAAGAAGAAAAGGTGTATCTACGTAGAAATAAGGTTGCGTCTTGCTTGCGTCAGTAGTTTGAGTGTTATCTATTTTTATGCCTACACATTTTATTAGTTGACAGAGGTCATTGGCCCTTATCATCAGGAACATTCTCGTTTCGTGCAACGTGCAATAGGCAACTGGCTGTCGTAACAATATTAAAACTGTGATTATACAATGAATCACTCACCAGAAAAATCCTTTAGCACATGCTCAGGCACTAGAGGTTTCCCCTCCTTATCGTAAGCCAACATAAACTCCTGTTCGTCTTCCAGGTCAAAATTATCGTCCAGGTCGTCTGCGGACCTATCAATCAAATAATAGATAATTATAAAATATTGATATTTAAATACTAGCTATCCGCCCCGGCTTCACACGTGTGATTTCTGGATCTAGACAACAGCGCCACCTACTGGGTTTAATAGTGAATTTAATCCATCCAAGGAGTCACTCAAAAACACACAAAAACTTTCATCAAAATCAGTCAGAGTTTTAGCGAGACTAACGGACAGCAATTGATTTTTATATATAGAGATTTTAAAATGGTAGAGTCATCCTGCAGCTATATTATCGATATAGAAAAAATAAGTAGACTCTACTAGGGAAGGATCACTCTCTCTAAGAATACCAGCGTAAAATAGCAGTTTAATGTATTATGGATGTAGAGCAAATAAGTCGACTCGACTAGGGAAGGACCACTCTCTCTAAGAATAGCAGCGTAAAATAGCAGCTCAATGCTGTTGTGTTTCGTATGGCGAGTGTAGAGACCCTTTTCACTGGAAACAAGGCATTCCATCTTAGTCTTCTGGGGTGACAACGCATTTGCATTTTGATTATTAATCAAGGATAGATATAAATGTCTATGGGCTACAACATCCACTTACCATCAGGTGGACTATGTGCTTACATTGACATTAAGCTTTATTCACAACTAATCATTATGTTACGGACGGCGAAGGGAGTCGCCGCCCCGTCACTCCCTCATACCCCTCCTCCCCGTCCCTAGCAGTATTCACCATAACAAATAAATAAATAAACACAGTCCACATATAGTCCCTTACACATTAACAATTGTGATCAGTTACCTGTGTTTCGCAGTGGCTTGTGTGCTTTTGGGTGCTGTCGCCTCTTCTTCAGACAACATTCTCTGCTGCCTCAGCTTCTCAAGCTCTTCCAATTTCTTCCTCTCTTCTGCTTCTTGCTTCTCAGCACTTTTCAACCCATCTGATGGCTATATAACATAATAAACTGTAAATTAACAAATTGGATATAAGAATATTATTGCGTTATTTATAAAATTACACATGATTACCACTGCGCTAACAAGTGTTACACTACTGTTAATTGTTAAGGGTCCGGTTTATCCATGTGTAATTTCTCCCAAAATCAATGTTTCTTGGTCCCCGTTTCACCAAGTTCGCTACAAAGGACGCACGGGGTTATCAGATTCACCGATAAAATATGTCTGAACGAGCGCCAAGCTCCATATAGGTTTAATGGTTTTTGCGTTATGAGGATTGAAAGTAGCTCGAACTGGTTCGTGTAAAATTCACACTGCCGGTGCGTCGCCCTTTATATACTGTAGGTGCAGTCAAGTACTGTCCAGACGTAAAATGCCTTCAACAGAGGAGAAATACTTTTTTATTGATAGATAAAATATAAAAAAGAGTAATAAATTTTATTGTTTTAATTGTATGAGTTTTGTCTTGGAGTTGATGAAATATGTGTGTGTGTGCGTATGTAGGTGTGTGTGTGTTTACACGTATGTAGGCGTGCGTGCATGTGAAACGCGAGTAGGTATTTGCCAGTTGGATGTATGTGGTTTTTTCTTCTTCTTCATCAGTTTGCAGAAGTTTACTGCTGGATATTGACCTCTCAACCATATGTATGACACCCAAAGGACGAATGTGGTGCTGAATTCTTTTACGCTAACACAATATGGTAGTGTTGCTTTACTCAAAGTAATAATTACATTACCATTACCATCACAGCGTATCAAAAGTCCACTGGTGAACCAAGGTCTGCTCCATAGATTGCCGCATAGGGGCGATATTTGCTATAGTTGCCAATTGCCATGCTCAGTGGCGGATTGGCCACTGCAGTTTTTTTATTATTATTAGTAAGACGTTGCTGCTCACCTCCCGGTTTGCTTCCCTCCATCGCCTATTACGGCACCCACCACGATATGGGGTAGCAGATATTCTTACACAGCCACTACACGGTAAGCTTAGACATTGATGTTATAACATAACAAGATGGCGAATTAACAACATAATAAAACTGAACAAGTCTTACAGTTCCCCTCTTCTCAAATCTGAGCTCCCTCATCATTTTATCGTAGTCCTGACCCTTTTCCGCTTTGCTTAACAACTTGTCTATCAATGATTCTTCTTCAACTCTCGCTTTCTTGAAAACAACAGGTTGCAAATCCTTCCATTCACTATCCAACTTCTCTGTTAAGTCCAATGTCTGTTCCTTCTCTTTCTGCTTCTCCGCTTTCCTCTTCTTTGATTCGGCTATGAGTTGCTCTATTAAGTCCTTGTGTGATTTTGCGCCGTCTTGAGCGTCTGTCTTAGATAGGATTCCACCTCCAAAGTGTCCTTCTGCGACGAAATCATCTGAAACATAATATATATTATTAGTGTCATCCCTTTGATTGATTTTGATATAAGTTGATAAAGAATCTAAAAAGCCAGTCACTATTGTAGGTGTGTGCAGGATATATGAGAAATTCCATTTTTTACCCCTGCTGACCAATAGTTTGTGGGCCATTAATAATGTGAGGCTTTTTACGTAGTAGAGCCATTCTGCAGCTATATTATAATTTTAGCACGAATGGGTAGGCTCGAACGGGGCAGGACCACGCCCTCACAGAATACAATCAGCAGCAACGCCGACCAGTAGCCGATACAGTTCCTTTATTCTTAATTAAAGATTTAGATGTCTATGGACCGCAACACCCACTTACAATCAGGTTTACTGTGTGCACCCCCTTATTATATTTAAAAAAAATTACGTCACAATCCATATCCACAAAAGTATTACTGAGAAAAATGTTAAAATTATATCATAAATATTAGATTATATGGTACAGCTTCAAGGATTATCATAATTAGTATTATAATAGTGTCCAAAAAAAACTATGGATTAATTTTCTACAATATTTTGGGAATGTTGCTTTAAAATTGATGTCTTCAATTGCTGTGAACAATAATTTAATATGTAATTAAGATGTCACATACCATCTAATCCTCCAAATTTTTTGCCACCATCATCATCTTCCTCATCTGATCTCGGGTCATCAAACTTCTCTATTTGTTCTAGCGTTTGACCTCTGCAATGAAAGAGCGTGATATAATATCTGATACATTTTCATAAATATAAATATATATATATATATATATATATATATATATATATATATATATATAAGTAAGTGGTAAGACATTCGGTGGACAAAGTTACTTTATTTAAAACGTTTTTGCTTACTATTAGGAAATAAAGTATCTAAATAAAAATGTAGCTGGTGAAGGATTTAATTCCATAACATTATTTTCATATTATCAAAAAACATTATACGGTTATCACTTAAAAAAACGAGAACTCGAATGTCAAAGTTTCTTCCCAGCAAATAAATTATAATATCATATCTCATTTAATATAAACTTTTTTCAAAATCCATTCAATCATGAATTTCATTAAGTATTGCATGGTGATCTAGAACTTTCTCAGAAGACCAAAATATCCCACTTATGTATACTGCTGGATAGCCATAACACTGTCTTTCAGGCTGAATGTATGGGTATCATTCAAACGGCCATAGCAATAGATGCCAGGAAGGTAAAAGACATCTCTGTCAGAATACTGACCGACAGTATACTACAAGCAAGGAGTTGCATTGTGGTGAACTCGGGACTAATATATGAATGCCATCAACAACTAAATGAAATATGTAAACATTACAATGTGACTCTGCAATGAATCAAGGGACACAGAAGATCCAGGGGCAACAATGCAGCAGATGAACTGGTCAGGAGCGGATCGGCTCTGGTCGCTATAGGGCCGGAACTGATCAAACCGATTCCTTTTGGTAACATTCGTTCACTAGTATGTAAACACTTCACTTATCAACACACTCAGCTTTCGAAAAATCTAGAGGACTGTATTCAAGCTAGGGAGGCCCTGCCCGAAATAAACAGTTGTTTAACCAAGGTCTTAATGAGACCTTGGGTAAATGACTGTTAAACAAGTGCTATTGCAGGACATGGGTCTTTCAACAAACATTTATTTACCATAAGTGTTACAGATACTGTGCAGGGCATGTTTGGTAGAGGGCGAAACAGCGGCCCACATTTTGCTGGCATTTCCGGAGGTGCTGCATACAGGGCTTAACATCTCGGCGTGCCGGGATCATGCCCCAAAGTTGCTTGTAACATCAAAGGACTGTTGAACTTCTTCGGGGAAATTTAATGACTCAAATAATCGTAATATTTCTGCCCACATGCAAAATACGCGCTCAGACGTGGAGTTGCGGAAAATAGTCCGCCATTATCTAATTTAATCTAAGTATTTCATGTGTGTGCATATTCTTTTCAAGCATATATTTCAAGAAGTATTATTTCTCATGTGACAAAATTGTGGAGAAAATACGATATCTTGTTCAACCTGGCCTTAACTAGTACCCCTAATATTAGCCTGTTATTTGATATATATGTGGCAGTACTCAGTTATGGCACAATAGCATTGAAGTCCAAATCAAGCTATCGAAGTTTCCAAAGGACTCTTGATGGGAGATCACCCTCCGAGCTGTGCTGCGCGATCTTCACTTTTTCACCAATGGCCAAATATATGCATATCTGACAAAAAGTGGTCTATTGGCATAACTACCATTTATTCACATTCTGTCTTGGAATTGCTGGAGCAGAAATAACTGTGTCCACTTAGCCAGGACAATTCTTGCACAGAGTACTAACATGAAACAGCAGCAAAATGCCAGTACTTTGTATGCTTAGACCCCGCCAATTTTAGACCTATTTCTGTACTACCAACACTTAGTAAGATTTTTGAAAAAATTGTTCTTGATCAAATGTTAAATTTTTTTAATATAAATAATTTACTTCATAAAAATCAATTTGGTTTCACAAGGGGTCGCTCGACAACCGATGCCAGTGTTGAGCTGATTAAATATATCTTTAATGCATGGGAGAATTCACAGGATGCTTTGGGTATATTTTGTGACCTATCCAAGGCCTTCGATTGTGTTCACCATGAAACATTAATCAGGAAACTTCAACACTACGGTGTAAGAAGTGATGCCCTTAAATTAATTATTTCATATTTAAGTAAGAGAACGCAAAAAGTTGTCATTAACAATATTAGCTCTTCCGGATCGATGGTACAAATGGGCGTGCCTCAAGGCTCAATTCTCGGACCCTTTCTGTTTCTTGTATACATTAATGACTTACCTTACATAGTAGGGGATAACCATGATATAGTATTATTTGCAGATGACACTTCTTTAATTTTCAAATTAAGTCGACAGTTACTAAAATATGACGAAGTAAATAATGCTATATCTAAATTAGTAAATTGGTTCGATGTTAATAATTTGCATTTAAATGGCACTAAAACAAAATGTATGAAATTCGTGACTCCAAATGTCAAACAATTAAATACTAATGTAATTTTAAATGGGAAGAAACTGAGTCTTGTAGATACCACCATTTTTCTTGGAATCACACTAGACGCGAAGCTTCAATGGAGCCCCCATATATCAAAACTAGCAAGCAGACTTAGTTCTTCAGCATATGCTGTAAAAAAGATTAGAAGTCTAACCAGTGTTGAAACAGCTAGACTAGTTTACTTCAGCTACTTCCATAGCATAATGTTGTATGGTATTTTGCTATGGGGACACGCAGCTGACACTGAAATTATATTTGTTTTGCAGAAGAGGGCCATAAGAGCAATTTATGATTTAAAGCCTAAAGAGTCGCTGCGACAAAAATTTAAGGAAATTAATATATTAACTTTCGCCTCTCAATACATTTATGAAAATGTAATGTACATACACAAAAATAAAAGTAGTTTTATAAAAATAAGTGATATTCATTCTGTAAATACTAGGAACAGACACAAGCTAGTAGTACCAGTTACTCGACTCCATCGAGTCAGTAATTCATTCTTGGGGCGATGTATACGCTTTTACAACAAAATTCCAGAAAATATACAAAGTTTGACCTGTTCAAAGTTCAAAAACTTTATTAAACTAAGTTTGTATAAAAAGGGTTATTATAATATTAAGGAATTTATGGATGATAATAACCCCTGGAAATGAGGTGATCGCTACCAAGCTATTTCTAATTTGTTGTGTTGTTAATTTGTGTAACATCATGATTGTAAGCTGTTATTTAAAAAAAAGTCCCGCTGGGTTTCTTGCTGGTTCTTCCCAGGACAGAGGTTTTTTCCGAACCAGTGGTAATCAAACAAAAGAGTGACTTTCAATAAGTATTATTTATAATCTATATTGCATAAAAAAGTTTCTGTTTCTGTTTCTGTGACGAAAACGGGAGACCTTATTCAATAGAGGTAGTGAGATTTTTTTTTATAATACTTGAGTAATAAATGAACTTACTCTCCACTGGATCCTATTCCATTTTAGGATAGAATCCTCTAATAGAAATGCAATATTATTAATAATTTAGAATATAAAAAAGTAAACACAATAGCATTCTTATAGAATAAAAATTACTACCTGTGAGTTAAGATTTCATCATCAGCCAAATTGTAGATACTTTTCTTGCTGTGTTGTTTTGCTCTTTCGGCTGCAAACCTGGCAATCATCCTATCTTCAGCAGACAACTGGTTGTTTTTCTCACCGATTCTTCGATCAATAAAGGCATTTGTTTTATTCATGACTTTCATTTCTACACCTAGAGTTTCCTTTCTCTAAAGATAGGACACAAATAATGAAGATGTAAATAGTTAGAAACAGTACCTTTTAAAATAGATTTTATCACGTTTAATTACTTTTCGTTTTCTTTATGGTCATTGTGAGGACTGAGGTGATTGACATCCCAACGTCGAACTTAACCCGAAGTACCTAAAGCTTTTTAATTATTACTTTTGGTCTAGTCAACACGAAGCACCCGAAACATTGGAAATAAAAAATAAGAAAATTAAACGTGGTAAAATCCATAAAAATAGTTTTATTCAATATGAAGTGTTAGCGTAAATATAAGAAATCACTGCAATGTATGAAAATCTCAAAATGTCACATGATAAAAGCTCCAGGCTAGTGACCTTAAAATTGTATATATTTTTATAGTTTACTATAAAAATGCAACCTCTGGAAGAGGCCTATGTGTACAGTTGTGAACTTGTGGCTGTAATGAATGAATGGTGAAAGAGGTAAAGGTTATTAAGGTCCAATGTATTTTTAGTTTTCTATTATACTACTTACCAAAACAATTTTATTATTACCTTCTGCACAGCCTTGGCTCGTGAAACTCCTGGCAAGCCTCGATCATGTTTAGATTTCTTCCCAAGTACTTTTAACTTCTCTCTGTTGATGTGAACCTCGAACGGATTTAATTTTTTCTTATTTGCCTCAGATTTCTTTTTCATGTGCACTTTATCAGCTAATCCAGAATTTCTCTTATTTTTCACTTTCGCCATTTTGCAATAAATTCCAGTAAATCTTCTTCTTTCTTCAGCAACCCGAAATTACGTGCCATAAAAGGAGGTTATATCTTACTTTGTCAAACAAAAAATGTCAAAAATCAAAATACACATGGTTTTGACATTTACAGGGTAGCGTTCTCGTGTTAAGAAATTATTGTTATTATGTTATATAAGTTAAATTAAACACATTTATTAACATAACATTAAAATATACAATATTTATAATCACAATACAAAAATAATTTAATGTAAAATAAATATATTTAAAAATGAATTAAGTTTTTTTTCTTCATAGGTGTGTGAATTTCTCGGTCAAAGAATATAAATTACTACGTTTACGCTAGGTAGAGAGTAGGGGGCTAGGGGGTGTTCTCCCCTCTCCCCCCGAACGTGTTCCCGTTTCCCGCCATGTCATGGCACTCCATGACATCTCATCATGAAGGAGCATCTCCCTCCCCACTACAAGCCTAGTCGTAACTTGCCCGATGTGAAGGGCCGGCCCGAGCCGGCCACTCCAGGCAAAAATTTAAAAGCTTAGTCGGGTTAATTCGTGATGAACATTTTCTTGTTATATTATGGCTATTAGTAAACATCAGACACTTAGTCATAACAATTTGAGATCAACAGGTTGATAAGATATTACGGTTATTTTCAGACTGTAACTTCTGTCCTCTTTTCAATCCAATCTCAATTCCAATTTTTTTTGATTACAGAAAGTATCCACCTAAGCGCGATCAGATGCTTAGGAAATTCAAGCAGAACCGTTGTGAACTCAATTAGATAAAATTCAAAATTCGAGAAATCGATGTAATCATATGATACGAGCCGTTTTCATTCATTCATTACAGCCTTTCACATGTTCACTGCTGAACATAGGCCTCCCCCGTGGAATGCCACAAAGCACGGTCCCGAGCCACCCCCATCCATTGACTTCCTGCATGTCTTACCATGTCGTCACTCCATCTATTGTGGGATGCCCTACACTTCGCCTGCCGGTACGAGACTGCCACTCGAGAACCTTTCTTCTCCATCGGTTGTCGGTTCTTCGAGCTATAGAGCCGGTCCATTGCCATTTCAGCATACTAATTCTTTGGGCTATCTTACTATCCATCACTTTCGCCCAATATCGATTCTTCCTTTTCTACCGACTTCAAAAGGAGGAGGTACCTACTTAATTCGACTGTATGTCCTTTTGTTATTTAAAAGCTGGTGCTTCTCTGACCAATAATTTTTGAGTTATCTTTAATAATTTATATTGAAGTCGGTTGTACAAAATTTTTAATTCAACCAATTGTTTATCTGAAGTTCTTGACGCTATTGTCCACTAACATATTCGTAATTACATTTTTAAAAATAGCTTTCTTAGAACATTTCACTTTACTGATAATTCATCTTGTATATGCGACATATATTTTACAAAAAAGGATATTTGTTGCGCATTAAAGAAACCAGATTTAAATAAAGGACCTGGTCCTGATGGCTTACTTCCAGTTTTTCTTTTAAAAAAAAAACTGCAGATTACCTCAAATTTCCACTTCATATTTATATTTAACAAATTTTGTTTTTAAAGTTTAAGGTGACAAACGAGCACACAGTCCACCTGATGGTAAGTGGTTGCTGTGGCCCATAGACATCGACATTTATCCTCGTTTGCGAATCAAAATGCAGATGCGTTGCCACCCGTGAGGACTAAGATGGAATGCCTCGTTTCCAGTAAAAAGAGTCTCCGGTTCGTTACACTCACCATACGAAAAACAGCAGTGTTAAACTGCTATTTGACGTTGGTATTCTGTGAGAGCGTGGTCCTTCCCCGTTTGAGCCGACCCATTCGTGTTACAACTATACTACTAATATAGCTGCAGCATAGCTCTACCACGTATTACATGTGTACTTTCATTAATCCTGTGTATAAAAGTAGCGATAAAAATAATATTGAGAATTATAACCCTATTTCAAAATTGTCCACCTTGTCAAAGCTTTGTAAAAGGTTAGTTAGCACATAATACTTTATATCCAATTATTCATCATCATTATATCTGAACAACATGGATTTGTTCAAAGCCGTTTCACTACTACTAATCTATTAACATTTAAAATTTGTTTATTCGAAAACATGGATAACAAAGTTCAAACTGATATTTTAACACTTTCAGAAAGCTGTTGTCAAGGTGGATCATAAATTACTTATGGATAAAACTGCATTTAGTGGAAGTGGTAATCTGTTGCGTTGATTCACATCTTATATCTTTAACAGAACTCAGGGGGCTGTTATAAATGGTTATTAATCTAGCTCTATTGTTGTAACTTCCGATGTACCTCCAGGATCGATTTTGGGCCCCCTGTTCTTTATTTTATTCATAAATGACGTCAAAGCCTGATTCAACAATTCTCATTTTGTAATGTACGCTGATTATATAAAAAATTATAAAAAATGCCAAAACATTCACGACTGCTCACTTCTTCAAAAATATATTGACAGATTTCTTCAGTAATGTTTAGATAATAAGCTTCATATTCTGAATGAGATCAGGACGTTGCAGTGGTTTTTGAGAAATATTTTACTGATATTCGTATCTTAACCACTAAGTTACTGAATTCTTCTCCTGCCGTCGCCGAACCATTACTTAAACAAAATGTAAATGCGTGTACAAAGAATTTTTCATTTCATAAAGTATCATCAAAAGATATTGTAAAATATATTAAAAATATTGACATTAAGAAAATTGCAGATCTGTGGGGGATTTTCTTTAATAGAATAGAATGATTTTTATTCAATATTGATTATTAGATAATACTTATTGAAAGTCATTTTAGTTCATTAAAGTTATTGCTTCTATAACAGATGCAATCGCGCCTCATCTAGCTATTATTTTTAATATTAGTATCGAATCTGGTGTGTTTCCTGATTTAATGAAGCATAGTAAAGTAATACTTTTACTTAAATATTGTAGTACATTAGTCCCCGCCAATTTTTGACCTATTTCTGTACTACCAACACTTAGTAAGATTTTTAAAAAAAAATATTCTTGATAAAATGTTAAATTTCTTTAATACAAATAATTTAATTCATAATAATCAAATTGGTTACACAAGGGGTCGCTCGACAACTGATGCTGGTGTTGAGCTGATTAAATATATCTTTAATGCATGAGCGAATTCACAGGATGCTTTGGGTATATTCTGTGACATATCAAAAGCCTTCGATTGTGTTCACCATGAAACATTAATCAGGAAACTTCAACACTATGGTGTAAAAAGTGATGCTCTTAAATTATTTCATATTTAAGTAATAGAACGCAAAAAGTTGTCATTAATAGTATGAGCTCTTCCGGGTCGATAGTACAAATGTCGCTCAAGGCTCAATTCTCGGCCTCTTTCTGTTTCTTGTATTAATTTCATACATTACTTAAAGACTTAACTTACGTAGTAGTTGATAACAATGATAGAGTATTATTCACTGATGACTGTTCTTTAATTTTCAAATTAAGACGACAATTACTAAAATATGACGAAGTAAATAATGCTATACCTAAATTAGTAAATTCGCTCAATATTAATAATTCGCATTTAAATAGTATTAAAACGAAATTTGTGAAATTCATGACTTGAAATGTCAAACAATTAAAAAGTAATGTAATTTTAAATGGGGAGGTACTGAGTCTTGTGACCGTTTCATTTTTAAAACATAATAGGTACCATTTTCCAACGTAATACCGCAATCAGTTTATTCAAAAGTAAGTCAAAGTAAAACTAGGACCAAATGTTTTACAACCACTGACGAAGTATCTAACCAACAAAATTTCTTCATGTGTCGCTAGTAAGCATGGGCGTTTTCAGATTTTAGCTGCAACGGTTACATAACTGATATTTAGTTTTCATATCGTTATTGAAAACCGTTTTCAAATATCGATATCAGTCGTAATGGTTTACAACCGAAACATAACCTAAAATCAGGGGTATGAAAATCCTCAGTAGCTTGCTTTACGTTGATACTAGTGCCATCTCACAGTAAAAGTACTATTTTTCCCGATATTTTTACATAACCTATTAAAAGATGGCGCCACTGTGGGTATTTATTATTTATACTAAATCATGCTAGAAAAGTTTTGAAATACGCCGGTATATATATACATATATGTAAATATATATATATATATATACATATATAGAGATCTCTTCACGGTAAATGTTGATCAGACGCGACTTCACGCGAGCACTTTGTTGATCCGAAAATGTATGTTGATCCGACGCCTTTTCTTGATCCAATATGCATCTCTGGTAACTAATGTTGCTCCGACAGGATCAACATCTACACTCACGGGACTACTTACTAGCGTTCCCCGAAGTTGATCTGATATACAAATCCACCTTGCGATAGTTACGCAAAATGTTGATCCGATTTAAATGAGCCAATCAGAGCACATCAAACGATCGGATTGGCTGAAAAAATCCGCGACGTTGCCGTTTCGTTTCTTTGGCGGTGGCAGCGACGATATTGTCTAAGGTGGACTTGAAAAACAAAAACACTGCTTCACTATATCAAAATAATAATCACAAACAAAACTAAAATATCTATCAAAGAAACAGAGTAATCAATAACATTGCAACCTGACTTACTTATTAGTCGCTAGTCACTAGAATGAAGGATGCATTTGCAAAATTGATAGTTATAGAATCGAACTATTATATAATTTATTATAATAATTTTATATAATAATTTTACAAGTCCAAGAACATCTAGTTCGACATTTCCTTGGACCTGCAGCATCAACTACAGAAAGTAATCTTCCTCAAAGATCTTCAATATCCTGTAGCTTTCCAAGATCTTCAATTGCTTCTTCAAGCAATTCTGGACATTCTCTGGAAGAAATACCACGAAAGGCCGACAATAAACTCGTACGAAATAGATGCACTGCTATGTCAAATTGAAAAATGAAGGATTATTGGCTAGAAACGCTAAGCAAGTACACACTGAGTGCAAAAGGTGTGAAAAG